CCTGTAATATTTTAATAAGTCATGTAAGAAACAGAAACCTTATATTTTGAACCATCGTGCGACCTGGTAAGAAATCCCAACGGACAAAGTAGTTATGGAGATTTCATAATTGTCAACCATTTCTCCCTTCGGTTTTCTCGTAATAGAAATATTTTTATTATCACGTATAATTTTTGATTTGGGTTTTTCATTTTCATTGCTTTTAAGAAAATTTTTAGCTATTAATAGTTTTCAGCATATCTTAGGTGAATGTCATATTGAGCTGTAATTTGTTCTTTCTTGTCCACTATGATGAAAGCAACATATCTAATCTTAAAAACATCCACCTTAACCAACACAGGTGGCTGTCACATTCCATTAGCTTAACTATTAGTACCATTTTTCTCTCTTGAAATGGCAATTGGCACCTATCCTTTGCCCAAATTACATTATTCATTCATTTCCTGAATGACACTTCTGTAGGTTATGTCACAGAAAAACTTTTTACATCTGCAAGACTTATAGAGGCTACCATACCAAATATTCAAGATTTTTTTTAAATAACACATAATATTAAACCATAGAGAGAGAAGTAGTGGAGAATATTTTTATATTTTATTTTGTGATAGTAAAAAATTAATTATTGAACAGAATTTGAAGCTGTTTAGATGAAATTGCTAAGAACTACCATAATTAATTGCATCTATAATACATGTGAAGAAAAAAAAAAGTGTTAAAACCACATCTTCATAGTAAGCAAAGTTAATTTTATTTTCAATGGCTGATCCCTTTTTGTCAAGGCTGACAAGGGACTACTTAAAAAAAAAAAACAAAAAAAAAAACTTATTAGTACCCGAGTGGTAAGACAGTCCAGTGATCTAAATTATTAATGATAGCAGCATGATGAAAAGCAAGTCTAAACAAGGTATCAGATAAGAAGACTTCATCTCAAAATCATAAAATATACTCAAACTAATCATTTATAGAGACCAGGGTTTTTCAAACTCTGGGTCCTGACTCTTCAGTGGGTTGGAAGAAAAAAATAAATATATAAAGAATGAAAAAGTGCAAAATATATACAAATTTCAATGTTGCACGGCTCTCATAAATCACTTGTTTTTCACCAAGCTTATGTGTGTGTGTGTGTGTGTGTGTGTGTATAAAACAAAATATATGTGAAAAGGCCAGAAAAATTACTATGCCCCCTCCCAAAAAATGTAAATATAAAAAAAGCACTCAATACAGTACTCAGAAAAAATGAACATCCAGAGCCAGTTAATACAATATGACTGTGAGGTCTTGTCAGGTGGCTAGCTACCTGATGAGACCTCATGTTTGAAACCAGGTAGGGCAATAGAATATATGGTTTTATCTTTTTTATTATATAAAGAAATGGACAAAGTCCAACAATTTATTTATTAAAGACATTTTTATGTTTAACGTTCTTTTTTATAGATACAAGTATTTAAGTAAATGCTCTGTTTATAATAAACAGTATTAAATTCAGGCTGGTAAATGTTATTTAATACTGTTTATAAAATAAATAAAATATTCTCATTGAATTTGTGTTATGTATCTTGTTCATCAAACGCATTGCGAACTGAGTGATGTCAATCCTCTTAACAAAAGAAACCTTTGCGCCAAAACTTAGCTATGAAAATGTTGCCTTTTACAACTACTTGTGTTAAATTGAGTTAATGTGGAAAATCCTAGTTAAGACAAAGGATATGTGTGTGGCACTTGTCTTCCTGTGTTCCCAATTGGAATCAGCTGCTTATGAACAAGCAAGCGTATCCACCTCATTAAATGACCCCCCCCCACCACCACCAATATTTCACCTTTGTGTTAGAATTTCCTTTAAATTCATTTTTCTAAAAATAATTTTATATTGATACAAATAGATACATGCAATTCCAATGTGCAGATAATGAGATATATGCATATAAATTGTCAAAAGCTAAATAAACCTAGTGAACAGTTTATCTTTGATTTATTACATGTAAGTATAATAGTCGCAATGCAAAATGTGTTCGTGTTATGAGTCAAAGTAAAAAAAAAAAAAAAAAGTTTGAAAAATGCTGAACATCTGTAACAGAAGTAGATTGTAACTGATCTGATTAGAAAATTCATTAAAATCAAGAAGAAAGATTGTAACTGGTTAAAAACAAAGATAAACAACATTAAGAAAATAGTAATGACAATATTGATATTAGCAGTTTCCTTATAAGCAAATATTTGATACTCATTGACCAATCATCCAATGCTACTGTTGGTTGAAATTTATAAAATCTTTCTATTAAAACAATCTTTTCTTTCTAGTATTGAAAGGGGCTTCCTTACTAATAATGTGTTTAAAATAGTAAGGAATGTCAACATTTTGGTTGGGTCATTTACATAGACAGTGATAATCCTGAGTAGGATTTGAATCCATCTTAAGGTGATAATTTTAAGGCAAAATAAAATACTGATTTCATTGAATTATTTAAAATTATGCCCTTTTATTTGCTAATTGCTGCTTTTAACAATTTATGCCATACTGCAGCTGCCACATATTGCCAGAGACAGGCATACTGTTTCCGTCAATAGATGTAGCACAATACACTGAATGTCTTTCTGCGATAACATCAGAGTCAATAACCCTCAGTCATGGTAGTAAATGTCATGTTACCCAGGTGGAGGAGCAAAGCGGTTTTATGTATGAATCCATCTGACTACTTTCAGGTATTTTTCTTCTTCACATTTCATTTCTGGCATAGATTAACCAGATGTTTTGAGTCACTGGTCTGGTGATGTCCTGAACAGGAGACGCCTTCAATCACATTGTAGTCAGATAAAATCTGAAGTCCCAAGCTCACAGGTGAAAGGTCACAAGTCAGAGTTAGCCATTTGTCACAGAAAACACAAAGTGACAAATTCTCAAGATTGAACAAAATCTTGGAATAATGAGGAATATTTTAAAATTTCAACAGTTTAGTTTACCTGTTGGCAACATTGATGTTCCAAACTAGCGTCATTGCCCCAATTTGAATGCTTGACAGCAAAGAGCAGTTGTCTAAACATTGTGTGTAGGTAAACGTTGGGTTTGTTTTATGTGTGTGCACACACACAACAATATATGCATTCAATTTAATCTTTAAGTTTTAGAGAATTTTAGATTTGGGCCAAAGAAATAATTTGTCATAATTTTTACTCAACTTGACATGTGTAGCAGGTGGCTAAAGGGCTTTACCCAGTTATAAAGGGTAAAAAGGCTTTACTCAGTTATATAAAGTTAATAACTTATCTTAAAGTCTATATTCAAGTTCAGTTCACCAAGAATCCTCTCAACTTATTTAACATTTTGGAACTAATTAACAGTCTTAATTAGTAGTCTTTTTCTTTTTTTTTTTTTTTTTATAAAAAACATTTAATTCCAATAGACTTAAAGTTTATTAAAAACTTAGTTTTTAAGACTAGTGGGGTGAAAGCATAAGGCGGCTTGATTGCATTTAAAAGTTTGACAGCCCCAGTCAAGCATCCTTGGGGGATCTACTATTGTTCTGCATGACCACTGTGCTTTTCTATCTGCAATCAGAATGTCACACTGAGCTACACAGATAAAATATATTAATCTTTTTGAATTTCAGACTGAATTTATTAAGCCTTTGGACTGAGATCAAAGTACATCTATTCCCTCTTCCTCCTAAATTAACGAGAGAAGCCTGATCCTCGGGATTCAAAACCTGCAGCAGCCACCTTCCTCATTGCACTAAAGAAGGGCGTGTAGACTGGGCATTTTGGGGGTTGTATGTATGTATGCATGTATATAGGCACCACATTGGTATGTAAATTTCCTTCAAAATAAAACAAAGATTTTACTTAAACCATTTACATTGTAAAAAAAAAAAAATCCCAGTATTCATATTACTGATCTTGAAAAGATCTTAATCTCTAAACATTTTGCATCAATGAGGATAGAACTTGTAGCATCAAGATTCATGAGAAAAAAAATTTATTTCCTCATTTACTGATTTTATACATAGGGCTTATTACTATCATTTAACTCCTTGAACCACAATTAAAACAAGTTACATTTTATATACATCTTTTTTTTTTGTCTATATATATATATATATATATATATATATATATATATATATATATATTTAAACATTTAGTTGCAATATGTGCATGGAGCAAAAGCCTGAAAGTTAAAACCCACTAGCTTTGATCTATCAGGGTGACCACTAATTGGCCATGCCCACCATTTTACTTCCAGTTATTGGCATTACTATGTAAATAAAATATAGCATTAAACAAACTATGTAGCATTAAATCTGCTCCCTTTACCAGTGCAATTTAAGCATAAGTTGGGGGACCAGCCTGCACAAATATTTGAAAAGGAACTCTTTAAAAGAAAAAGGTTAGAAACTAAATTTATTAGCTACCTATAGAATAAAATAAAACTACTTATTTTCTTTGACTTCTTAAAAACTTATCAGACCAGATCAGTTGTATAAGTTCATCCTGGAAATAAAACAGTAACAAGAAAATCCTACCAAAGATTATATATATTAGTTATAAGACAGATAAATCAAACGGCTAGATATAAGCATGTGCATACATGGTCAAGCAAATAACCAACCATCAAATTTATACACAAGGTGTAAACATAATAGTGCTTGATGTGTCTATACAGAGAAAAGATATATATTAATTTGTACATATATGTATAACTATGTTTTGGTGTGTGACTAAAGTTTCGCTGAATTACTAACTCCTCGGGCACAAGATCTATCTTGTTAAAAGTAAACAAATGGCTTATGAGAGTATCAGTGCTATGTAGTGCAAAAATAAAATTGCACAGAAGCGTGTTAAACGCGATGCTGGTGAGTTACATTTTTCTAATTTTTTTTAAAAAACATGTAAGAAAGAAAAATGTATAAGGAAAAACGATGATTACAAATTTAAAATTAGAAGATGCTTCTTTACTTATGTAAGTAAAAATAGAGTCTACATAGGTATGAAAGAAGTATACTTACTTCATCTGTTTTACAATGGTGCTTTTCCCTGATTCTCCAGCTCCTGGGAAAAAATAAAAACACAAGTATTAGAGAATGGGCCAGGATTTTGGGCTTGGGTTTTATGTTCAACCAAGAATTAAATGAGCAACTTTGATCTAGATACTGATTTAATAAATCTAAGTTCCTATTTGTATTTCTCAAAAAAATGTTTCTAACCCTTTGTTATAGTGGAACACACCTATTCTATACTTAATAGACTCTCCCACCTATAATAAGTAGGTAGTAGTAAGAGTAACATGTCAGTTGGTCAGTCAGTCGATGTCGGATGACAGTCGAATACTAAAGTATCAGCAACCACAACTAGATTACTCTGCGTGATACCTATTATATCAAGTTCCTAACGTTTTGTACGTCGAACCTATTTTAGGACCGACTTAGTACAAATACAAGCCTCCACTGTAAAACCACTCCACAACACCCTTCCTAGTACAGGTTCAGATTTTCTGGCATTTATTTCCAGAACCATGCCAGATTATCTATTTTGCCAGACTAACAGAACCGATAACATACCTCAGACCCATTAATTATGCATATCACTAAACTGCTAGAAACAAATCATTTTTAAAATGTTAATTAAATGACTGAATTAGTCTGGCAATTCTATTAAATTCAAATGCTTGCTTGTAATTTTGTTTAGATTAAAATATGGTTCCAGACAATGACTTTCCAGAAAATTGGTTGTGTGCCTGCACTGGAATCGATGTTCAGCACCACATTTTTTTTCTGCCCCACTTTCAGTCACAAAGACAAAAAACATACTGGAATTCAAAACAAATAACTAAGTCTTGAACTTGACTGCTATACTATAAGAGAGTACGACAGAATAGCAAAAACACCTTAAAACCATTTTGACCATTAAAGTTGTAATATTTTCAATGACTATCTTGACTAGATTATTCCATATCACTTGTTCAGATGCTTACACGCCCCAGATCTCTTTAGCACAAAACTGAACAACCTCGGCAGAAATTTGACAATTCCATTTGCTAAGCTGATAAGAATTACACACCCCAACCCACTCGTATTTTTGCCCAATATTAGGCATGGTTAAAAAGTGTCAGTTTACATCCTCATCCCTTCAACTAGTAGAATTTGCAGTCAACATTTTTTTTTGGCAGCCACTTATATGCTCGATCATGAAAAATCTCACAACCATTAATTTGCTAGATTCTTTTCTTTTTTTACCAATAAAAAAAAAAAAAAAAAAAAAAAATAATAAAAAAATAAAAATGATCCAAACACACACACACACATATATATATATATATATATAAAAAGGCTAATTCTATAAACAACAGCCATATCTATATCTTTTATAATTGTTATCGTAGTTCATGTGATATATCTATAATTCTCGCTTGAGGTATTCAGATGTCTAGTCGCACTGAGGAGCTGTGAAACACTACTGTCTGCAAATGATATAATTTAGCCCATGAAAATATATTTCAATTGAACACTGTTGAGTGATTAGCTAATTCTATAAACAACGCCCACCTGGGTTAATGCAAAGCTCTTCAGTAAAATGAAAAAAAAATTATGTAAAAATAGAAAAAAAATGTGAAAGGGGTTTTAAAAAAATAAACATTAAAAAATAAAAATAAAACAGGAAAACATTGAACAATGACATAAGAATAATAAGAATATTTTGTTAAAAATAAATGTCTGCATTAACATCCATAAAGTCATTTGAGAGACTATTTTTATTTTAAATCATTTTTAATAGTGATGTCCTGTGATGTTTCTAAAAAGTCAAATTTAGAAATTGTTAGTAATTAATCAAGACATTATCAAGTGTCTGGGAATGAATTATAAAAATTGCAATAATCAATTTGAAATGCAGGTATATCTTGGTCAATAAATATGAAGGTCAGTTATTTCAGATGCTAATTAATATCTTAAGTATTTGAATAAATTAATCTGTGTGGGAGGATACAAAAAACAAAACCTACAATTGTAATTAATTTTTCATTATTTTAAAAATAATCATTATCTGAATTCTATTTTTATAAGAAATCCTATTTGGAACAAGGTTATATTGACAGTCCACCTCACAATCTTTTTTTCTTTCTCCAAGATAAAATATATACAAGGCAAACAAGACAGATGTGTATTCTATAGGAAAAGGGTGCTTCCAGTTGAAGTCTTTCTGTCAACTCTTAGCAATCAGAATATGGACCATTTGGTGTATTATTTTCATTTTTCCCAACCCCAGGGGCAGAGATTAAAATTTCAAGCATCTACAACTTTTCATCCTTATCTACTTCCAGAAAAGAAGCTAAAAATAAGTGATATTAGTATCAGTTTATAAGTAATTCCTTAAAAACAAACTTTGGACCAACTATATTAAGGATCTTGGAAACTTTATGCAAATCGAATATTGGTTTAATGCCTTGGTTAACTAATATGATAAAAAGCAATAGGAATGCCCCCCCTCCGCAAAAAAAAAAAAAAAAAAACAGGCAAACCTCAAATGCTTCATTTCAGATTCTATTTAAAAAAAGAAAAAAAAAGGAAAAAAAAAAAAAGCATATGATATACATGCAAATGTTTATTCATACATTCAAACCCTATATCTTTTTGTGTTTTTCCATTTCATATTCTAAACATGGGCAGAGTGGGTGGGGGACTATCAGCAGAAACATGGGTGGGAGAAAGACAAATGGAGGAAAAGGAAAAAAGGTGACCGTATTGAAAATTGTGGAAGCAATGAGAGAATTGAAAGAACAAAGAGAAAGTGAAGCAGTAGTGTTAAAACTGTTCGGGATGTGGGGTGGTGTGTGTGTGTGTGTGTGTGTGTGTGTGTGTGTGTGTGTGTGTGTGTGTGTATTGTTCCTTTAATGAATTTATGAGATTAAAATACAAACATTTGCATATAAAGCAGAATAGACAAACATGCTTTGTTTTATAGTGGCATGTGATATGTTTAAATTTACCATGTTAGTTTTTTTTAATAAATTTGATAAAAATGTTTAAGACTGATTTTTTTTTTTTAAGGCCTTCCTTTTTATTATTTGTACATAAATCTTTTTTGCCTCTAAATGCTTATTTCAAATATTTTTGCTGTTAAAAAAAAAAAAAAAAGAAAAAAAAAGAAAAAAGAAAAAAAAGAAAAAAAAAGATTGAAACTTGTATTTATAAAAATTAAAGTTTGTCATCAAGCTGTTAAAATAAACATAACATCATGTTAAGTAAAATGTATTTGAGATATTTTAAACTTAAAATAAAAGTAATATTTGTTTCAAATTAGATTAATTAAACTTTAAATCAGCTAATATTCCTTAAAGTATCAGAAGCATTTTATTTTGGAAAGAATTTTTTTTAAATAAAGAGAATTACATTCTGATGACAGATGGCTAAAAAAATGTTGCTAAATTAAAAATTTAAGAAATTTCAAAAATGAAAATGCCTTCCAGTCAATTTAAATTATTTTTGAAAATGGCAAAGTATTTTACTTATTGGAAATATTAAATTTAATCTATTAGCTTGAAATTAAAACTAAAATAAATGCTTCAAGAATGATTTTTCACTTTTTAAAAGTGTTTTAATATTACTGATCTTAAAAGTCCATTAAAGTAATCTGCAAATTAGATTTAACAAATTATTTATCTCTGGTGTTAGATAAGAAAAATTAATGTTTAAGCATTGAATTTTACAGTTTTTGACCTGAAATTCATTCAGACTGCATGCTGTACATGAGAAAAAGGATTGTCAGTGGTCAGAAATTAAGGCAACTGTTACTGAGAGAAATGTATTATCAGACGTATAATAAATAGGTCAGAAGAACTAGAATGTAGTACATTGCAAAAAGAAAAAAAAAAAAAGTAATAAAAAATATCTACCAAGACACTTTGAAAAATCAAGAGGGATTGTTCAAGGTCAGGAAATCAGGCAAAGCTGACAGATTAAGGCTAGGGTTTCCCAATTTTTTGGCTGTGAAAAATTAGTTTTGCTATTGTCAAAACAAAAAGCTGAAATACAAGTGAATGGCTGTAAATTATATTTGATTGCCGACATAAAGAGAAAATTTACTATTTTAGATTGCGATAAAATCACAGTACAGGAAAAAACAAACATCAGTTATTCTGCAGAAAAGCAGTTAGATTTTCATAGGCTTCCATTTCCAAGGCTCTCCACGGGGCAAAAGGGACAGGGGTTCAAATCTCAGCAAAACTTCTCATCCTTTATTTATCATCCTGTACTGTCTACTTTCTGGCCAAGTTGGAATCAGGGTAAATTTAAGTTAATATGGGTTAAGAGCTAAGGATTTTTGAAGAAATCTCAATATTAAGACTATCAGCAAAGACAAATTTTAAAAAGTAGACTGAAGAATAAAAAAAAAAAAATTAATTGTAAGACCAACCTGTAAAACCAATATAAGAATGTGAAAAATATTAGATGAAATTGGCTATAAAATCCACCCCACACAACAAAAAAAACAAAACAAAAAAAGATACAAATTTGAAGTTTTCTCAAGAAATAATTTAATCTACTAGAACCAACTCTAATATAAATAATACACATAAGAGACTGTATTTATTATAAATGCATTTTCTTAAGATTTTGTCATCGTATGTTTCCAAATTGATATCCATTGTGATGTAGACATGGCTGACATCATGCAATGGAATCACAAGCAGCAATCAACATTTCAATAGGAATTTGGCTGCATTCTTGCTCCATGGAAACATCAATTTCAATGCCTGTTGCTGGCTTTATAGTATAGACTTTATCTTTTAAGTATCCCTACATCAATAAGCATAAAGGGTGGAGGACTGGTGAATGAGGAGGATATTCGACAGAACCTTATCTTCCAAGCCATCTGTTTGGCAAGATTTCATTCATGTACAATCATGCTGTACGATACTATGGTGGTGTTTCATCTTGCTGAGAATAAAATTTCTCATCTCCCAAAATGTCTTTAATGCTTAGCATGATAGACTGTTGTAGGGTTAGGCTTAGTGTGTGTGTGTGAGAGAGCACTATTGAGAGATAAACTGATTC